CTAATAAATAAATAATAAGTTATTAATTAATGATTTATTAACAAGCTGGAATAGATCTGGTTTCGCTGGAGGAGCGCGAGCGCCGCGAGTCCAAGATCTTCCATTTATTCCTATGGGCTGATAATTGAACAATGACTAATAAATAAATAATAAGTTTTAAATTAATGATTAATTAATGATTACTTAATGATTAATTAACGAGCTGGAGGAGCTGCGGTGCCGCGAGTCCAAACTCCCATTCATTTCTATGGGTCAATAATTGAATAATGATTAATAAATAATAATAAGTCTTCCATTCATTCCTATGGGCTAGTAACTGAACAATGACTAATAAATAAATAATAAGTGATTAATTAACAAATAATTACCAATTTATTAATGAGCTGGAATAGATGTGGTTTCGCTGAGGAGCGCGAGCGCTGGGAGCCCAAACTCTTCCATTCATTCCTATGGGTTAATAACTGATCTATAACTAATAAATTATTAATAAATTATTAATTAACGATTAATTAATGATTAATTAATGAGCTGGAGGAGCTGCGGTGCCGCTGGCGGGAGCTGGAGGAGTCCAAACTGTTTCATTCATTTCTATGGGTTAATAACCGAACAATGGCTAATAAATTATTAATAATTTATTAATTACCAATTAATTACTAATTAATTAATGAGCTGGAGGAGCTGCGGTGCCGCTGGCGGGAGCTGGAGGAGCGCGGGCGCCGCAAATCCAAGATTATCCATTCATTTCTATGGGCTTATAATTGAACAATAATTAATAAATAATTAATAAATTATTAATTAATGATTAATTAACAAGCTGGAGGAGCTGCGGTGCCGCTGGCGGGAGCTGGAGGAGCGCGAGCGCCGCGAGTCCAAGATTATCCATTCATTTCTATGGGCTAATAACTAATAACTGAACAATGGCTAATAAATTATTAATAATTTATTAATTACCGAGTAATTACCAATTAATTAATGAGCTGGAGGAGTGGGAGTGCTGCAAGTCCAAACTCTTCCATTCATTCCTATGGGTTAATAACTGATAGATAACTAATAAATTATTAATAAGTTATTAATTACCAATTAATTACCAATTAATTAATGAGCTGGAGGAGCTGCGGTGCCGCTGGTGGGAGCTGGAGGAGTCCAAACCCTTCCATTCATTCCTATGGGTTAATAACTGAACAATGACTGATAAATTATTAATGAATTATTAATTAACGATTAATTAATGATTAATTAACGAGCTGGAGGAGCTGCGGTGCCGCTGGCGGGAGCTGGAGGAGCGCGAGCGCCGCGAGTCCAAACTCTTCCATTCATTTCTATGGGCTAATAATTGAACAATGATTAATAAATAATAATAAGTCTTTCATTCATTCTTATGCGCTGATAGCTAAACAATGACTAATAAATAAATAATAAGTTATTAATTAATGATTAATTAACGAGCTGGAATAGATGTGGTTTCGCTGGAGGAGCGCGAGCGCCGCGAGTCCAAACTCTCCCATTCATTCCTATGGGTTAATAATTGAACAATGATTAATAAATAAATGATAAATTATTAATTAACGATTAACTACCAATTATTTAACGAGCTGGAGGAGCGAGAGCGCCGCGAGCCCAAACTCTCCCATTCATTCCTATGGGTTAATAACCGATAGATAACTAATAAATTANAGCTGCTGCGCGAGGAGAAGGACGAGCTGGCCGAGCAGGTGCTGGCCCTCAAGGCACAGGTGAGGCCCCGAAAAGGTCATTAGTTATTAGTTAATGAATATTAATTAGATTCTGTTAGCCGTTAATAGCTACTTATTAGTTATTAATAGAGTTTATTAGTGATTTAATACCTATTTATCAGCTGGCCGAGCAGGTGCTGGCCCTCAAGGCACAGGTGAGGCCCCAAAAAAGTCGTTAATTATTAATTAATCAATATTAATTAGGTTCTGTTAGCCGTTAATAGCTATTTATTAGTTATTAATAGAGTTTATTAGTGATTTAATACCGATTTATCAGCTGGCCGAGCAGGTGCTGGCCCTCAGGTCCCAGGTGAGCCCTGAGAAGCTCATTAATTATTAATTATTAATTATTAGTTTTTTAATTGTGGCTAGAATGGTCGTTACTTCAGCTACTAATGGTCGGATTTCGTTAATTAGGGACTAATTACTAATTAATTAATGGCTCTTGCAGGCGGAGCAGGACCCAAAAAGACCAATCAGGCCCTCATTAGTGCTAATAATTGGCTAATAATTGTTTAATTTTGCGCTAATAATTGGCTAATAATCCCCTAATATTAGCTAGAAATGCAGCGTTTTTTGCCTATTACCACCCCAATTTGGCTAATTGTTAATTAATTAGTGATTAATTGGCGGTTTTGGCAGGGGGAGGCGCAGCTGCAGGTGGAGCAGAACCCAAAAAGACCAATCAGATCCTTATTAGCTCTAATAATTGGCTAATAACCCCCTAATTTCACCTAGAAACGCCATTTTTTCGCCTATTCTCGCCCCAGTTTTGCTGATTATTAATTAATTAGTGATTAATTAATGGCTCCCGCAGGTGGAGGCGCAGCTGCAGGTGGTGCAGAAGCTGGAAGAGAAGGATCAGACCCTCATTAGCTCTAATAATTGACTAATAACCNGGTGAAAATTGGGATTTTATGGCACACCTGGGCACAGCTGGCACACCTGGGCACGGCCGGGAGAGAATGGACAAAAAAAACCCCGTGAAATTTGGGTGAAAAATGAGGATTTGGGGTTACTTGGGAACACCTGGGATACAATAACCCACAGAGGCAAGATGGCCGCCACGAGGTGATGTAATAACCCGCGCCTAGTGGTGGCGGCCATCTTGTCCCATTCGCTGGTGGCGGCCATCTTGTCTCTGTGGGTTATTGCATCACCTCACGACGGCCATCTTGTGTTTCTGAGTTATTGCATCATCTCGTGGCGGCCATCTTGTCTCTCTGAGTCACTCTATCTGTTTACAGCGGCCATCTTGTCTTTCTGGGTCACTCCATCTGCTTACAGTGGCAGCCATATTGTCTCTCTGGGTTATTCCACCTGCTGACAGCAGCCATCTTGTCTCTCTGGGCTATTGCATCACCTCATGGCGGCCATTTTGTGTCTCTGGGTTATTGTATCACCTCGTGACGGCCATCTTGTCTCTATGGGTTATTACCTCTGTTTGTGGTGGCCATCTTGTTTCTCTGGGTCACTACATCTGCTGACGGCGGCCATCTTGTCTCTCTGGATCACTCCATCTGTTTACAGCGGCCATCTTGTCTCTCTGGGTTACTCCATCTGCTGACGGTGGCCATCTTGTCTCTCTGGGTTATATGTTCTCATGTCGGGCATCTTGTCTCTGTGGGTTATTGCATCACCTCATGGCTTCCATCTTGTTTTTCTGGGTTATTCCATCTGCTGACGGCGGCCATCTTGTCTCTCTGGATTGTTGTATCACCTCATGGCGGCCATCTTGTTTCTCTGGGTCACTCCATTGGCCGACGGCGGCCATCTTGTTCTCTGGGTTATTGCATCACATCATGTCGGCCATCTTGTCTCTCTGGGTCACTCCATCTGCTAGCGGCAGCCATTTTGTCTATCTGGGTGACTCCATCCACCGCTGGCGGCCATCTTGTCTCTCTGGGTCATTCCATATGCTGACGGTGGCCATCTTGTGTTTCTGGGTCATTCTATCTCCTGATGGCAGCCATCTTGTCTCTTTGGGGTATCCCTTCTGCTGACGGCAGCCATCTTGTGTCTCTGGGTTATTGCATCACATCATGGCGGCCATCTTGTCTCTCTGGGTCATTCCATCTGCTTACGGCGGCCATCTTGTCTCTATGGGTTATTGCATCACCTCATGGTGGCCATCTTGTCTCTCTGCTTTATTCCATCTGCTGATGGCGGCCATCTTGTTTTTAGGTCATTCTATCTACTGATGGCAGCCATCTTGTCTCTTTGGGTTATCTCTTCTGCTGATTGCGGCCATCTTGTCTCTATGGGTTATATGTCTTCATGTCGGCCATCTTGTGTCTCTGGGTTATTGCATCACCTCATGGTGGCCATCTTGTCTCTCTGCTTTATTCCATCTGCTGATGGTGGCCATCTTGTCTCTTTGGGTTATATGTTCTCATGTCAGCCATCTTGTCTCTCTGGGCTACTCCATCCGCCAACGGTGGCCATCTTGTCTATCTGGGTGACTCCATCTGCTTACGGCGGCCATCTTGTCTCTCTGGGTTATTGCATTACATCATGGCGGCCATCTTGTTTCTGTGGGTTGATGTATCATCTTCTGGCAGCCATCTTGTCTCCCTGGGTTGTTGCATCACCTCATGGCGGCCATCTTGTCTCTCTGGGTCATTCCATCTGCTTATGGCGGCCATCTTGTCTCTATGGGTTATTGTATCACCTCATGGCGGCCATCTTGTCTCTCTGGGTTATTCCATCTGGTTACGGCGGCCATCTTGTCTCTGGGTCATTCTATCTACTGATGGCAGCCATCTTATCTCTTTGGGTCATTGTATCTACTGATGGCAGCCATCTTGTCTCTTTGGGTTATTGCATCACCTCAGGTCGGCCATCTTGTCTCTCTGGGTTATTCTGTCTACTGATGGCAGCCATCTTGTCTCTTTGGGTTATTATATGATCTCATGGCACCATCTTGTCTCTCTGGGTTATCCCTTCCGCTGACGGTGGCCATCTTGTCTGTTTGGGTTATATGTCCTCATGTCGGCCATCTTGTCTCTCTGGGTTATTCGATCCATTGATGGCAGCCATTTTGTCTCTCTGGGTTATTGCATTACCTCGTGGCAGCCATCTTGTTTCTTTGGGTTATTTTATCTACTGATGGCGGCCATCCTGTCTCTCTGGGTCACTCCATCTGCCGATGGCGGCCATCTTGTCTCTCTGGGTTATTCTATCCGTTGATGGCGGCCATCTTGTCTCTCTGGGTTATCCCATCCGCTGACGGCGGCCATCTTGCCGTTACCGCAGGAGGAGGAGGCGCTGCTGTCGGAGATGGACGTGACGGGCCAGGCCTTCGAGGACATGCAGGAGCAGAACCTGCGGCTGCTGCAGCAGCTGCGCGAGAAGGACGACGCCAACTTCAAGCTGATGTCGGA